AAGATGGGATGCTATACCCCCAATGTTATAGTAGTTTCCATTTTCTTTTCCATTGTCCCAATATATCCCAATCTTAAAGTAGTTTCCATTTTCTTTTCCATTCTCCCAATATACACCCCAATCTTAAAGAAGTTTCCATTTTCTTTTCCATTGTCCCAATATATCCCCAATCTTAAAGAAGTTTGCATTTTCTTTTCCATTCTCCCAATATACCCCCCAATCTTAAAGAAGTTTCCATTTTCTTTTCCATTGTCCCAATATATCCCCAATCTTAAAGAAGTTTGCATTTTCTTTTCCATTCTCCCAATATATCCCCAATCTTAAAGAAGTTTCCATTTTCTTTTCCGTTATCCCAATATATCACCAATCTTATAGAAGTTTTGCATGTGCCTGGCCCCAGCAAACTGAGACCTTTGTGGCTGTCATAGCACATCCCTCCCCACGCCAGAGCCGTAGTCCTTGTCCGCCTCATGACTCCGAGAACAAGCATTACATAACACCCGTCTGGTATGAATAACCCCACCCCGTCACACTAAACACTGCCACTACAGTACAATTACAAGTCGGGGGAAAATTTGTTATTTTGGGGGAGATTTCCTATAGCCTTACCTCCTACATGGTATATATAGTAGTTCTAAATCCCTACATCGCCTTCTTGGGGGAGGCGATTTAAAATCAATGCTGGGAAACTTAACTAACTAGATCTAATTTTACGCCCAACGCCCGCCCCTTGCAATAGATTCCCCTTACAGAAGTACCACTATGCACTAGGACGAATATCGCTATCATTTGGGGGTTGCGGGTTCATGAACCCTAGACCCCAAACCCTCAACCCTACATAGCCGGAGGGGCTTTACAAGTTTCACAGCTCAGGCTATGGCGTGCTGAGGCAGGGTTTGCCTTGCTCATGGATTACGTTTCAGAAGTGGATTGTATGGGCTACAGTTTTGGCCACTCGTAGCTATAGTCTAAACTCCTTGAAGGGGTGTATGAGGTGTTATATAGGGATTACTATTGGGGTTCTTAAGGGGGATACTAGAGGGTGTAGACTACGGCTTATTTAGGTCCGAGGGTTCAGGAGGAACATGGTGCGCTTAGGGTTTAGAAGTTGAGGGGGAGTTGGGTGGGTGGAGGTGAAGTTGTCAATTCCAGCAGCGTGTGAAAGGTTTTGCTAAAAGGGCTATAATTGGAACCCCAAACAGGGAACCCCAAAAATATGATATAGTAGGAATATATTATAAGGACCTTGGCAGGTACATCCTTATCATATTCCTACTATATTCTTTGGGTTTTTTGTTTGGGATTCCCAGTAAAGTCCCTTTGTATGCGCACCCTTAAGCTTAAACATCGATGTTTTGAATGCTTCATACCTAGATCCTGCGATGCTGTGAGACTCGTTAGCACAGATGGGTTTATGAGGACTGACAGGCACAAACTGCATGGATAATTAATCCCTAGCTGGGTTGCTGTTAAGAACTTAGGTTGACCAACCACATTTTTAGGATATAGTAAAGAATGGAGTTTTGTCATTTTAGAAGCTTTTTTCAAGTTCCTTAACAGCAACCCAGCTAAGAGCCTGTTGCATAGCAAGCAGACTGTAACCCGCACCATACCCATAATCATAACCAGCGTCACAACAGCAGCAACAACAACAGCATCGACCGTTGTCACGGAACGGTCAATGCACTTTGTAACCCTAAAGGTTAAAACCTGAAACCCTAAAACCCTAAACCCTAACACCCTACAACCCTAAACCCCAAAACCCCAAAACTCTGGGATTTGGAGCTTGCCAAAGATTGCATACAGGAAGCAAATCAAGAATCAGGAATCTGCCCGAAGTTAGGCTCGCCCCAGCACACCCCTGCATCCCAGGGCCTACTTATAGTCCCCCTTAAGTAGATAGAATATGGCTTTGGGTTTAGGGTTTAGGGTTTAGGGATAGAATATGGCTTCGGGTATGTTATAATAAGATCCCCATATACCCCAGAGTCTATCTACTTAAGGGGGACTATAACTCACCCAGCTCAGGCCCGCAGAGTCGACCTGAAGCAACATAGGGCTTCATTAATTTGGGGTTTAGGTTGGGTACTGCCCCCACCCAGTAACAGTCTATATTTGGGGTCCTATTAAGGGCTATATATAACCATAGTATATTTATTATCCAACTGCTACTGAGGGGGGGCAGTGCCCAAGGTTTAGGGTTTTAAGGTTTTAGTTGTAGGGTTTATAGTGTTTGGGGGCGTTGATAGTAGGATCCCCAGTATGATTCAAGGAATATTCTGGAATTAAGGGCCACTGGGCTCCCTGTGGAGGTTCATCGCGCAGAGTAACTTTGGCTCTTGGCTTGTGCGTTAACATTGTGCCCATAATGAGCCCATAATGGCCTTAAGATAAGGTTTCTGACTTGTTGTAGTTTGCCCACCTCCAGAAGTTAGTCCTAAGCCCTGAACCCCAAGCCTGAGCCCTATATGCCTTCAGCCTAAACCGCATAACGCCTGAACCCGAAACCCCAGACACCAGACCCTAAACCCCAAACCCTGAAGGTTCATCATGGAGAACGGCGCCAAGGGAGTGGAGGTCATCATCAGCGGCAAGTTGCGAGCGCAGCGAGCGAAGGCCCTATGCGGGAAGGGTTTTTGGTCAAGAGTTTTTAAGCAGGGCTTGGGTTCGGGGTTTAATGTTTATGGTTTGGGGATTTTGGGTTTAGGGCTTAGGGTTCAGGATCGGCTTTTAGGGCTCTCAGGCTTGTACCCCGGAGATTGAGGACAATCCGCCATAGAGTAATAGCCATGACTATGGACTTCATAAGGCTCTAATATACCCACAATAGTTTTTTCACACATTACTGGCTGCGGGATTGACCCAATGTACCCCTGGGTCTGTGGATCCTATTAAGGGACCCTCGGGGACTATGTTGGTTCATATGAGGGTCATAATATATTGGGGCTATACGACTTTAGTGGTACATACAACCCTGGAACCCTTCATTCGCGGGAGTTCAAGGCATTCGAATGGGTTGCATACCTGGATCCCCCGCAGTATATGGGGCGTGTGGGACCATTATTCTGCCTGTACACGTTTGAGGTGCGGGCAGTGGTTCAGGAATTTAGGCTTCTATTCTCCTTTGGGTGCGTTGCTGTGAGGTATTGGGTCTTGGAACTCCAGCCTGAGGATTTTGACTTTCGGATTTTTGATGTAGTTGCTACTTGTTTGACAAACCCTAAACAGCGTCCTGCTTAAACAGCGTCCTGCTGGCAACTGTAGCGTTTGGGGATTCCTAGAAGGTACACCCAGGGTGATATGGTGTCTTTTCCGTTGCTGGGACTCGGGATAGTACCTCAAGTATGGAGATTCAACGTGCATGTGGTGAAATGAAAGCTGGGGTTATGGCTCTTTGGGAATAATCACAAGCAGCATGGTCCTAGGTTCCTTGTATAATTCTGGTATAGGGTACCTCAAATAGAGTTCAAGATGATACTGGTAATTGCTTCGGTTAAAGTCATGTGGGAGCAGAGGCGATGAAGTTCAGACAAGGATACCTGATTCTTGGCGAGACATGGGAGCTTTTAGGGTTTAGGGTTTAGGGTCTGAAAAGTCAGCGTTCGGTTATCTTCATAGGATCCTCCTGCGAACCTTATGTAATTCCCATATATCCCTGGGGGCCCTAAAGGCAAACCGAAACCTTGTCTCGAGACACCCCTATTTCGATGACTTATGGATGATGATCCCTGCTATGTCTGTGACTATTACTAGTACGAGTACTATTTGTAAGTTTGTTCTTCTTACTACTACAATTACTACGAACTAACATCCTCCATCAGCACCATTTTCTGGCCTCTTAAAAACTCAATGTTATGCAGTATGATCCTCACCTTAACTGTGTCCACCCCCCTCCCAACCCCAGTATAGCAGGCATTTTAAGGGAGCATTAAATGTGGAGTGAGGGGGGTTGTCTAGTATTTGTATGAAGGACTTGCCTCCTTCCCCCTTTCCCGGAGACCTCCAGACCTCCCCAACCCCTAGCAGCAGATAGTATGCCTCTTTTAAGCTCTTATCATGGTTGTTAACATTAGTACTTATGATGGCAGCTATTAGTTTTTTCCCATTACTACAATCACTATTGTTGTCGTATTCTGCTCGTATTCTGGTGTCTTTCAACGATGTCAAAAGGCTTGCTCGTCTTCGGGAAAGCGTAGTGCCGGTGTTAACAGGAATCGGTTTCAAAATCTGCGTTGCGGTACATGTTGCAGGGAGAAGAATTCTAGTACTACTACTACGACTACTGCTAGTACTACTACTGCTACCACCACTGATACTACTACTATCTACTACTGCTACTACTGCTACTACTGCTACTACTGCTGCTACTGCTGCTACTGCTACGACGACGACGAGGACGACGCCGGCGACGATGCCTGCTACTGCCACCACCACTATACCGCCACTACTAGTACTAGGATTTCTGGGGGTACGGCATTTTGACAAGTCATTTCGTCTCCCTGGCTCGGGCGCATCCTTGCGGAGTACAATGGCAACAGCTACGGCGGCACAAGGACCCACGGGGGGAGTTTTCCAGAGGATGCCTGGGTGATAAATAACAGGATTCAAATGCGGACCCCCCAAAAAAGGCAACCCCAAGACTGTAGTGGGAATGCGTTGGGAAGATACCTACCAAGGTCCTTATGTTCCTAATTCTACTATATTCTTGGGGTTCCCTGTTTGGGGTCCCCATTAGAGTCCTGTTATTGTACAGGAGGCCCCGTTAACTTTCCGTATGCTCTTCAGATAAGCAGGTCCCTGTAAATATTCGCTAGTGCTTTGAAAACTGGTGCGCCAAGAGCAGCAGTGATATGTCAACAGTTCCTAAAACGGTACTGGTGATTACTAAGACTCCTTACAGCGCTTAGTGTTGCTGTATGGGGGCTGATCCTAAGCTACATGCGCATTGCACGTTTCCTTTTCAAGGTGTTTGTTTTGCTTCTTAGTATGTGCACAGAGCAATGGGGGCGGAGGGGCCCAAACAAATCTGCCTACGAGTCAATGACTTCACAGAAGTTGAACGTCACACGGCGTACAACCAAAAAACTGGCAGAGACGTGACCCTTGATTTGGACACGAACTTCCTGAAAGCAGTGCGAGATTTGAAGCTGAAGGGCGGCGAAAGCGTGGCATGGTTAAAGTTTCATGTCAGTACCTCTTTTGACCCCACGAAGTTCTTCATCATCAAGGGCATTGACGTTCAACACTTCCACACCGTCCGTGATCTCTTCACTGCGACAGCCAAAGCCGTTAACATCGAAGCGGCTGAGTTGACTGATTTCGTACCAGGGTTCAAGAACGGCCACGCAGGCTTCCGTTACCCTGAGTCAGTCTTGCGCTGTGCCTTGATTCTCTGTATCCTTGAGTTAGATGAGGAGGGCGACGTGGAAAAGTATGGACTTATCAAAGACGGCTCCCTGGAAGATTATGCTAGGTGGGCAGTTTGTGACGGACATGGAAGCCCTGCACGGGGTCCCTTGACTATAGAGGCCTATGCCAAGCAATTTCTCAAGAACTGCAAAGAGCGGTTCAGGCGCTCGTCCGTTGGGGCAAAGCCCAGCGTTGGAGGCAGCTAGCTTTGCAAGTCAGTTGCTGTGGTCCTTTTCCAAAATCAGGAGTCCCTTAAATATTTTATACACACTAAGCACCTGGCATCCTGATCATGCGCTCTCTCTTCAACGGATCCCTAAGAATCGTAAGCCGGACCACCATATGGATACACAGTTTGAAGAGGAGATGCCCTGCTTTGGAGAAACAGTTTCGTCTCATTTGACCTACGTGCCGCAGGCACAATGCCACAAGCGCATGCCCCAGTGCCAGCATGCAGACCTGCACACCTTGGCACCTGTTTCAATTGCTGATATCTGAAAAGCGAGGTGCGCTAGCGATACAGTACAGGTATATGCTGAGATTCTACGGGGTTATGGGAGGTTTTTTTTGCAGGATCATGTGGCAACTATTTTGAATAACTCCCCATTAGCTTTTGTGAGTACCCCCCAGAAAGGTATTCAGCTGAACTTGGACGGGTGTCTTAATACTCACCGAACCAGAGAATTGCTGCTCGCCTGTGTATGTCGAAGCCGCAAGAATCTTGGCACGGAACCCTCTTGTGACCCTCCCGAAACAAAATCCACCACTGCTTTTGGGCGAAGGAGCTTGACGAAGAGCTCCACGAGCTGACTGAGGTCTATACCTACACGTGCCCAGTGTCCTTGCTCTTTCTTGTGAAAACGTAAGAGCAAACCTTCAAAACGGCCCCCCATGTCAGTCGTAAGTTCGCAAGTCCCCTCAAGGGAGCGCAGATGTTGGGAAGCCTTCTAACCCAGCTAATTTTTTCTCGTCGCTGTTGCAAATCTTGTGCGACAAGGTGCTTGCCATTTAATTGTTCTTGACTGCAGCGTCCATCTCAGGATTTGATGGGTTTCCTTTCCCTCATCGAGAACTGTAGTCTCACTTGCCTTTCGGGCTTCGTGGCATCCTTAATTACAGTTCAGGGTTTAAGGCTGCCAAATGTCCATGTTGGCATAAAGTACATACTGAGGGCCTGCTGGGGCCCAAGCATATTCTTATATACCTACATGGACTGGGGCCCAAGTATATATTATGTACCTATTTGGACCCTTTTGGGTTTAGGTGCAAATCCAGTGTCCGAGTGCTTCGTTTGATCTTCTTAGCATGAAAGCAGAGCTTCGCACACCAGACCCGAGCCCCCTTCAACTGCAAAACGTTTAGGGAAAAGCAATACATTGTCGAAGTCCTAAAACCCAAACCATCCCAAACCCATCAGCTGCCCCAAAAAATGTAGAATGATGGCTGCTGGTCTGTTGCAGGGTTTGCGCCATAATTCATCTGCTGTGGTGGGCTTAGGTGTCCCAGCAATAAATACCCGCATATGGTATCTACATGATGGTGGGACGGAGTGCTTAATAAATTCAAAGCCTTAATCCAAGAAAGAAGAAACTTGATGATTTCCGTTTCCCTTCCCCTATATATCCGTATATAACCCGTTTTTAGGGTAAGAATCATAAACCCCAAGGCCCTACATCCCGAAACCTGGCCTAAGCCGTTTACGTAAGAACCCCCAGGATCTCCACTGGAGAGCCCAAGCGGCACTACATCTCTGAAGCAGTTCGCCATGTGCAGATGCGTCAGGGAACGATTGGTATCAAGGTGGGACAGTGTTTAGGCATGTGTTCTGTTTGTTGGGGTTTGAGGTGCAAAGGTAGGCTGTGAGCGTCATGGTTTAGGTAATGAAGGAATGGATCCGGAAAGAAGCCCCTATATAACCCATTATAATATGGTCCATTTTCTTTTCCATTCCTTCATTCCCAGCTAACCAAAGGCCAGTTTATTGCGAGTATATCCCTACATTCCCTAAAGGCATCCTGTTTTCAGAGGCAACTGAAGCTTCCTGCCCTTTGGACGAACTGGTGTTTTTTGTGTTCTACCCATTTGGGAGCTTGCAAAAGTAGGGTCTTCTGCAGAGGTCACCCCTCATACCATACGTTCCCTACCACAAAGCCTCACCAAAAAGCTGATGAATTCTTTCGGTAGTTTTCCTCTGCCCATGCCGCACCTCAAAGGCAAACTCCATGGGCTAGTCCGATGGCATTTCATTCACTTAGAAGCCACTTGGAGGGTCACGGGAACTTGGCAAACAGACTCACAGCCGACCTTCAGAGGCATAAAGACCCCTAAGCCCTAAATAGTAGTTTCCATTTTCTTTTCCATTATCCCAATATACCCCCCTAAACCCTAAATAGTGGTTTCCATTTTAGGCTCCAAGCAGAAGTTCGAGCTAGTCTTTCGCTTACAGGCACAGCCGCCGGACAACCAGTTCCTGTTCCTCAAGCCCCACATGAGCCATAGTCTAAACTCCTAGTATCCCCCTTAATAAGCCCTATAGTAGTCCCTTATATAATCCCCTATATAACCCCCCATTTAAGGAGCTTAGACTATGGCTCACATGAACCCTGTTGTGTACCGAGCCTGCCCAAACCCACCGCATAGACAATTGGGACTCTGGGGGGCCCTTGAGGTGAAGATCATGATGTCGCACGACCCTGAAGGCGGGAGGGCATTTACCTACCCTTGAATAAACACGAACCCTACATGGGCCCCCTCAAAAAGGCCTTAGTCTTCATAGAATCTTTCTTGGCGTGTGATGCTTGTTTTAGGGAAAACGAGGGCTTGGGAAGACACAGGGCTTTGGATGGGGGACGTACTTGGCTTTGGGTCATGCTTCAACTCGGCAGCCAAGCGATGCAATGCAGGGGCCAAATTAAATTTGCTAATAGCGTGGTCCTAGACTTGTTGTATGTGGGATACTTCAAATACCCATCTCAAATTGATACTGATAATTATTTAGACCTTGACATTAGAAAACAGTACAAAAATGGGCTAGAACCTTGTGGGTCCGGATTTGAGACATAATCAGCGAGGGGCCTGGGTCAAAAGGCATAAGGCATAAGGCCCCGAATCTTTGAAGAAGCAGCTTGAGGCCGGCCAGCTGAGTGTAGAATATTGGGTTTACTTAGGGACCATGGGAGCCATTAAGGGATTATGTAGGAACTTTATACGGCCAATGGATTACATACATAGGTGTGTGTATGCATTTATATATATATATGTTCATGTGGAAACTAACCTATTTCGTATTAAGGGTTAGGGTTTTGGATTGAACTACTGTCAACATTTTGCTTACCAAGGGACCATCGAGCGTGAAGTCATTTAGTATAGTCCGCAAAATGTTCTCTAAGAGGAACCCATGTCCATTACGTAGTTAAATATTTACATATATATATATGTATCTACACATATCTGTCGGTAATATTGACTGTAGCTCATGTATCTCTGTGAAGTAGTGTGAATGCTGGAGTAGATCGTAGCTAAACGCCAAGTCGTTTGAGCCTTACCTCGCTAACGGTCGTGTAATTGTAGAAGCATGGGCCTCAAAATGCTACTCTGATAGTCCCTCAGCCCTAAAACCCTAGAATCCTAAAACCCTAAACCCTAAACCCGCCCGACACAACGTCAAAGTAGGGATACGTCCTCAAAGTTGTTTTCTCAGTGGTGATTCGTAGGATGAGGAGATGGGTTCTGCCGAAGTCTCAGAAAATTCCAAATCCAAACAGAGGTCCAAAATGAGGGTTTTCGCATCCAACGCCATTCTTGAAATAGTCCAGCCTTCAAAAGGAGCACGCTATGCGCAGGCACGCATCTGGGAGCTTTTTGAAATCACCACCATCCTATCCTTGAAGGACATAACCCCTATATGACACCTAAACTCCCTGTAGCTTCCATTTTCTTATCCATTACCCCTATATAAACACCAATATAACTCCTATTAACCCCGACATATGCCAAGGGTTCCTGAGGCCGTCTTTTTTCATGGCTCCTACATAGCTTGAACCTCAAACCCTAAACCCTAAACCCTAAACCCTAATCCATGTGTCTGTGAGGCAAGATGGGTCCGAAGATGCAACTCCCGGATAACGTGACTGGGCTCTTGTAGAATAAAATTTTCCACTATCCTTATATAACCCCTATATATTCCCTATAATCCCCTATAATCCCTATATAACCCCTATATATTCCTTATAATCCTCATATAACCCCTATATATTCCCCATAATTTTGCATTGTTATGGATACCTGGGCCCAATATCAACAAAACAAGATCTTTTTTTAATGGTATTTCAACAAGAACCCAGGTGATTGTGCACGAGCCAAAAGAGGAAGCTCCTCCCATGATGTGTTTTGGCCAGCTTTCAGCCAGTAGTCTTGGAGCACCATGTTTCCTTCATTTTTGGTACATGCTAGACCTAGCAAGCGAGAGAGGCTCTCTTGCGAGAATTTTTTTTCGGGGAGGTCGCAGCGAGAGCTACATACCTCCAATATGTACCCAATAATAACATGGTAGTTTCCATGTTCTTTTCCATTATCCCTATATAACCCTTATATATTCCCTATAATCTGTATGGGCCCATTGAGGCACAAGGTCAACCTTGCCTCGGGTTAAAAGACCCAGAGGAGCAGTGTGTTGTAAGGAAGTGGGGTTTAGGGGTTTAGGGTTTCGGGTTTTAGGCTTGAGGGGTTTAGGGTTTTAGTGGGTTAGGGTTGATAGGGTTTAGGGGAACTTCATGTTCTTTACTGGCCATGGTGATATTGCAACCATGCAATTTCTGTCCTCGATGGTATAACTTTGTTGCCTTCAGGTGAAGTCCCACCTGCCTTATCAACGTTCTCTGTGGCAGGACGTAAACAAGAGCACCAAACAGCACGGAATACTATAAGAAAAGGTGCTGCGCGAAATCATTATGGAAGGCAGGAACATGAACCTTGTTTGCCCACCCCACAGTGGCAAGAATCCTGCGGCTTGGGAGTGAAACTGGCCATCCCCCCAATACTGCGCCCCCCTACCCACCCTTGCCCCCCCAAATGAATGTCCCCATTATTACATAAGAAAGAATGACCGTCCGTTTGGGATATTTGTTGCTAGGGTGTGGGGTGCTTCAGTTAAGGGAGGCATGTCTTGACACAAGGACATGCGAGAGCGAGTTCCGCAATCAGCCACAGGCTTGAGGAACTGCAAGCAGTGGTATTACAAATTCCTTGTAGATGTATAGTATAGGGCTACCTCAAGCAGACCTCAACACCAAATAGGTAATTATTTCGACTTTCACCAGTAAAAGCAGCCCCTACATAGCCGCTACCGCGAAAAGTCAAGTCATCAAGGCAGAAACTTCCAAACTAGAAACCACCTGTTGGGAACACCTCCCTGGTTTACTAGAACATACCTAGAAAGCCTAGTTACCCATAATAATGGGCTACTTTTAACCCAAAATAATGGGAATTTTTGTGAAAGCTATTTACCCATAATAATGGGCTACTTTAACTCAAAGTAAAGGCAAAAAAAGGTGAAAGTTGCCTATAAGTATGTGTAACTGGCTTTCTAGGTACAACCAAGGCCGCCGCAGGAGGAATCATATGGCTACGACCAGCAGGAGGGCGGCTACTGACTGTCACCTGGGATTTCCCAGTAAGACGCTTTTTTGTTTTTGTGGGTCCACAGTTCCTTATGAGACTAGAAGGCCCTTTCCAGTCCTAGGTTACTGGGGATCCCAATGATCGGTGCAGGCGGTAGACTTTTGCTTTCTTGTGATGGTGTGCCGCAAGAGTAATTGGGGTTGCTGAGTTGGGGGGGACACGCCAGGAGCCTATTCTAGCATGGTAGTTGCTTGAGTACCCCTACACAATACCAATGGGGAGCCTGAAAAGTCGTCTGCCCATGTTCCGACAACACTCTGAGGTTAGGGTATAAGGCACGCTACCGTCAATATTGCGCGGTTATTTTCCTTTGCATAAGAATGCCATAATTGTTGTATTCTATGGTTCAACCACCAACAACAGACTAGCGTTCAGGGTGTAGGGGTTTAGGGCTTAGGGTCAGGGGCCTTGCGTTGAATCTCCCCTGCACATCTCAGGAACGCGGGCCGTTCTGACAAGGGTGTGCGGACGGAGCAAAAAAGACGTGCTGCCATTGCCAAAGGGTCCAAATAATTTTAACCCCAAATACCCGCAAGGTGATAGCTTAGGGGTCTGGGGCTCCCACATGCAAGCGAGATGCAAGGACCGTGTACCACGCCCAGATAAGCCCATGAGAGCATGCCAAGTATCCACTATTATCCGCTACATAGCTACCTGAAGCCTTTGGGACCGAAAAGTTCCGCAACCCGTGTTGATTGTGGGACTGGCATAACACACGCCTTTCAAGTTGGGCCTTGCTTGGGGGATAATTTCCTTATCCTAGGTACCCCAGTAGTACTCATTTTCCCTTTTTTATTTGGTGGTCTCCTTACTAAAGCTGAATATTAGGAAACGGGTACCCTCATGATTTAGGGGTTACTGGAGAACCTAGTATCATTCATTTTAGTATCATGGAGCTCCGATTGACAATCTTTGGCAACTAAGATCCAGGAGTTTCGAGTCTCGGGGGCAGGACATGGTTTCGGGCTTAGGGTTTAGGATTTCAGCTTTAGGGCTCAGGATTCAGGACTTAGGGTTTACAGGGTTTATGATAACCAGGCACTGCAGTATCTAAACGTTGGGTAGTTGTTTTGGGAGCCCTTAAATGAATCCTTGTTACCGACATCCCAGGAACCTACTAAGTAGGCAACTGTGCTTCGTGGGATGGCTATCGGCTCCCCACGGATTTCGGGTTCTGGGTGAGGTCACGATACGCCCTTCCAGCTACTCAGGTTTAGAAGGTCCCCTGCCCCCCCAAGACAAAGACAACGAATCTGAACAGCAAAAGCGATACGCTTGTCATGGCACATGTGAATGATCACAACCCTAGACCCTGAATTCTAAGCCGGAAGCCAAAAACCCCAAACCTTAAACTCCCCAAGGAAGGATGACCTCAGAAGAGCAGCGCTGGATGCCGAGGCCCACGTGAGCTTGCTTTGTTACTATACGGATGACTGAAAAGGGTTATCGAGGTCCTGTAGAGGGTTCAGGGTTTTATGCTTGGGTGTAGCAATTCTGCGTGCGCAAGGGTAAGAGACGACCAGAAACCCTGCCCCAAACCAGAACAAGCAACTCTAAACCCTGAGATGTAGACTAAAGCCGCAACCCTGCACCCTGGTGAGGCCCTGTCTCAGTCCCCTGCAGCAAGCCTTCATACACCCCTGGCTCAGGTGCAGGCGAAGGTCGCCATGCAGGAGCTGCGAGAGGAGCGCTCCACGACTTTCTGTAATGCCTTAGGGTCTAGGACAAAGGGTTTGAGAACTTAGGGCGTATACAGCTTTAGGGCTGATGGGGGCAGCATTCTCGGTTTTAGAAGGCAAGCCCAGGCTCAAAATGGTGCAGGGAGGGCGCAACATGGAGGCGTAAACGGGCACTTGGGAACAACGGACAAGAAGATTGAAATCTTGAGATCATATGGGGATTATAGAAGAACTATCTGACCATTTTGTACAGGGAATTTTCCTGCACGGCATACGCCCGTAACATGGTCCTTAAGGGTCAGGTTCAGAATTTCTGTGCACTAACGGTAGAGGATCTCCACGAAGAGAGCTCTTCAATAAGAAGGGTGCCCCCCCGGAAGAATGAATGAAAGAAGTGGATGTCAACCAAATAGCTCTGGAGTTTTTGTGTTATTTTAGGAGGGGGTCTATACATATGAAAAGAGACCCTATCACGCAAGCTCCATGAGATGCATCTCAAGAAGCAATTTTTGAGCCTTGACTTCCAATATCATTGAGTAAGCAGTTCATGTTTACAAGCAGCCAAGGAATTGAGTCCTCCCCGCAAAGTATCTGAGCTATGGTACACCTTGAATTTTCAAATCTGACTAATATCTGATTAATGACATTGGAACTTTTCCTCTTATGCAAAGGAGTTTTCTGTAGATATGAAGGGAGACCCCGTCAAGCAAGCTCCATAAGGGGCCGCCTGTAATTCCCAACGAGCTTCAAGAAGTATATATCAGATTGCAGGATCATCTTGCCTTTTCTATCCCTTAAAGCTTAAATTATGTTCCAAAATGTCTCCTATTCTGGGGGCGCCTTACATGGGGCCCCTTAGGGCTTCCATAGTTAAAGTGAGCTCTTGAATCTATGTAATAGCAGTTCGAAAACCAGTCAGGATCTGTTGAAAATCAGTTAAACACCAATGACACTTGAAAAGTGTTCTATTGTTGTGTGGGTCCGGACATGATTTTCTAAATCAAAGGGGGTTTGTGCCCGAAAATGCCTCTGCCTTTAAAGTAATCTTTGACCCCTATTTCGGCCCAAGACAACTTCTGAGAACCAATGGGTTTGTTAAGTAGTTCTGCGCATGGATTAACCCTAAGCTAACCCAAAAAGACCCGTCCGGAATTGTTGGAGGTCAAAGGTTCACAGGTTGTTTGGGATTTAGTGTGCAGTTCTTGCCTTTCAGCATTCGTAAGTTTTCGAATCTTATTCCCTCAAACTCATCATTGTCAGGCTGCCCAGAACAGCCGAAGTATCTTGTAATTAGGAAATTCACTCCTAAGCCCCAAAGCCCTAAACTCTGGTCCCTGCCATGAGTTGCTGTACATTCCGCCTAAGTAAGGGATGTTGGGCTTTCAAGCTAAAACCCTTAGTCCTAAAACAAAGGGACTCCACTGGGAACCCCAA